ATTTTTCTAAACTGATGCACATTAATTTAGCCCGTGCCGAATTCACATCGGTTTATTTAACCGATGCTAGAACATTAATTTTTTTTTTTGGGCCGTATTCACATCGGTTATTTTAACCGATGCTTGAAATTAATTTTTTTTACATCGGTTCCGCATAAAACCGATGTAATAAGTGTCGTCCAGCTACTCGTTCACATCGGTTGTCTAAGAACCGATGTTGCTAGAACATATTTTTTTTTTTGGGCCGTATTCACATCGGTTATTTTAACCGATGCTTGAAATTAATTTTTTTACATCGGTTCCGCATAAAACCGATGTAATAAGTGTCGCCCAGCTACTCGTTCACATCGGTTGTCTAAGAACCGATGTTCCAAACTGAAATTTTATATTGTTGACATCGGTTTCGGCAAAACCGATGTCAACATCTGATGTGAAAAATGTTTTTTACATCGGTTTTGACAAAACCGATGTAAACTGCCGATGTGAAAAGTGTTTTTTCTACTATCCACATGTCTAAAGTGTGTGCACTGTGGGAAAAATAACTCAGGAGCACAAAGAAACTGTCCGTAGTGGGAATGTGTATATGAGTATAAGTGCCAAAATGCTCCCACACTCTCCTTGCAACCTCGCACTCTAAAAACAGATGGGAAAAGGTCTCAGTCTGGAAATCACCGGTCTCGGTACAACAGTTACACCGCGAGGGAAAGGAAACCCCCTTCGCTTGCACCACAGAGTCAATCGGAAACCGACGCAAAAGCAGGCGCCAAAGGATGACAGAGATGGTCGGGGTAAGGAGGTCGGTCTAAATGGCCCCGAAGAGAAGGTTAGGCCGGTCTCTCTACCGAACTTCCCCCCAAGTCGAGAACGTAGAGAAAGCACCCGAAGATGTAAGTCCCCACTTCATACCGTCCAAATTAGTCCTCCAAGATGAGAATTTGTTGGATCTGCTTGAAAAGGTGGTCACTAAAGCCCACTCGAGTACCCAAAACTCTCTCTAACCTATCCCTATCCCAAGCACCATTGGTCCAAAAATCCTTCACCCATAGAGAAGGGGAGTGAGATGTAATATCAGTACTTTCACAATCATTTATTCCAAAAAACTCATACTTTGAGTTTGTTTTCTTTCTTTTTTAAATTAGCCCGTTGGATATATATATATATATATATATTGATATTTACTGTTTCAAACTGCTAAATTAGACCGTGAATTTTTATAAAATTTACCGCCTTAGCCTAAGTTACAAATGTGAATTTCTGTTCAAAAAATGTTGTGGATGGGCATACCTAATTATTAAACTAATTTACATAAAAAATTGTGTATTTTGAATTAGGATTTACATTGAACCTCGTGAGTTGCACTTAGTCTCAAGTTAATGTAATTTTATAATCGAAAACTCTGAAAACTAAGCCAATTAATGTGCACGAAAACTTTTAATGGTGTTAATAATGAAGGGGGTAAAGTTGGTGGATATCTAAATGCAGTTTGGTTGAATAGAAATATTGTTATAAGTTTGGAGCTTGCAATCACTAATGTCAATACTTTCACATGTTGGACAATTATCCTCCCATTAATCTTATATACAGAGTTTGGATTAATAACTAATGAAGTTGGTATTTCTAATGTTAATGCAAATATTGCGCATGTTCCTAGAGATACTAAAATAATTTTTAGAAAAATAAATATGTTCATCAACTTACGGTACATAAAATTAGAATACAATACATGCCCATTATATTATGTGAGGTGATATCAGATTGGAATATCATACGAATTTGTAGGTACGTGGTTGAAAGTTCATTATAAGACCATACGGATCATAAATCACTAAAATGTAGTCCTAAAATATAAGCTATTAAGGTAATTTAGGGAGTTTGTATGTGACAATCAGGCTTATTATATTTGGCAAAAAGAATCAATGAGTGGCCATACCATAGCCCCTTTTCATCCCACTCATATATCATATATGCTTAGTGGAAAATAGCTATTCATAATTTTCATCTTTATGATTGTGGGAATTTGCATCACCTCTTTCCACTTGCACAAGTCCTTTTATAAGGATTACAAGTTTATAAATTTTTTGCTTTATATTAATTAGGTACACTTAAGCTACACTTAATGCAGTTTGTTGGATTGGGGACTTCTGATTAGTAAATTACAGTTAACATTTATTGACAACAAGTTAATATTAATAATAATGTGAATAGAGCGGTTAACAAAACGAATGTCATGTTAAGGCTCGAAAATATGAATTTTTATATATTTTTCTATAATTCAACTCGTTAATATTGATATACGGGTTAAGTTCGAGCTTGTGCATCGACTTGTTCAGTTACCGAACTCAATTGTACTCGTTCATACCTCTAACTGTTTATCGTAAATTGAGTTCATCTATTGTTCGAGCAAGAGTAAGTAGATCACTATGAACAAAAATTTCAAAGACAAAACCCAAATTCGAAACCTGGACATTTTCCATTAAAAATCAGTAGATTTATTTATAAATTACAACAAAGAATAATAATATTCTCATTTATTCGATATTTTTTTTAAAAAAAATCAAGATAATAAAAAAATATGCATATTTCTTCGACAATGAAGTGCATAAATATTAAATATTTTACCTTTCATTTCCGTATCAAAATAATTAATATCAATAGCATTTTTTACAGGAGTGAATTATTTTTTATAAAAGTTTACAATCAATAACTAATTAAAGTTTAAGACATTTTATCAAATTTTAAAAACACTATAACATATTTTTTCGTAATGGGTGTTGGTATCATAAAACAAAATATAAATAATGAGTTGGTTAAAAATTTTGATATTTAATTAAAAAAAAAAATATTGAATAACAACAACCCGCAACGAAAGCTATTTATTTACGTATCAGTCTCTATTGATGAAAATGAGAACACTGTCACGCTCCTTTGGTGAACAAATGAATAATCATCAGAATCCGAATACTGATTTTGCCATTACCACCCCCAAACTTCGCTTAAATTAAATTTAGACCCAACAAATAGCCACACATCGTCTGGGTCCTTCGCTCACCACTCTTCATAATTTGAACGGTGGGATTATTTTTTTTTTTCAACATCAATTATATTAATAACTTAAAACTTGAAAGAATACATCGAAGTGTTAAATGATACACTAGAACCAGAAGACTGGACCAAGACCCCTTGTCATCACAGACAAGGAGTACAAACTCCATCAAAGAGACAAACAACCACAACAAAAAAAAAATAAAAAAATACAAACTCCATAAAGGAGAGAAAAGACTAAACAAAACAAAACAACAAAATAAAAACAAACTACAACTCACACTTAATAAACAAATAAAATAAAACCTCCCCTAATCCAAGTAGGTGAGCTAGACGACTACCGAACCGACCCTGAGACCCCACACCACAGCTAAAGGCACAACAAAGCCACAAATCTAAAGCCCGAACCCAAAAGCTGCAGACAACCGCCTAGACAGATCGGGCGACGAGGCCGTTCTCGCTCCAAATCTAGGCTCCGAAAGACTTTAGAGTCGGCAAAGAAAGGAGGAGTCGCCACGAACACACCAGAGGGCTCGAAAAAAAAAAGACTCGAGGAAGGACCACTAAAGCCTGCACCCGGACGAGCACCAGCAGCCCGACCACACGGCGGACGGGCGGGCTGCGGCCTTCTTGGATTGGAGAACTTCTGACCATAGCCGGGCATCCACGCCCTTCCTACNAGGAGAGAAGGGGGAGCGGCGGAGAGAGAAAAGAGGAGTTATGACCATTTAACGGTGGGATTAGATATAGAGCATTTTTCAATAATATATTTGTACTTTTTTAATTATATTGCTTAGATTGTGGTAACGCAAAACACTTTGACCGGCATCGGCTCGCCTTCTTCCTCCTCGTCGGTAGGAGCTCTTTGACTGAACTTCACTTCGAAAAGTTTGTTGGACGCCGCGTACCTGCAAATAACTCTCACATCGGGGGGTTTTCCGATGAAGAGCCTCTGATGCTCTCAAGAGTAAAAATGGATAAATCGTGCTTAACAAAAAAGGCTCACCCCTAGGAGCTGCCCTGATATGATGAGCTGTCTGCCCAAAGCTGCCCGGATCTCCCCGTCCGTACACACATAGTGTGCGTGTGTCAGAGGTGGTTATCGCCACTATCATTATGCGTCAATGTATTCTCGCCACGTGTCCTCTGCACATGGGATAATAATTTTTCTGAATATTCCTTGGAAATTCCCTTGAAGGCCCACGCGCTCCCTCACGTTTAGGTCACACCCTCGATTGCTTATAACTGGTGAGGTGATCGATCCGAGGATCTCTTACTCGGTAGGTCGATCTTCGCCCAGATCTCCTGCAGTATTCGACTACTGCTCTTCGGCCTAATATTGCTCAACCAGTGTGGCTTTTCAGTCACTATATTCGAATGACTGATGTGGTGAACCGATTCATTCCTTCAAGTGTATGATATCACATATCAAATTGAATAGAAAATATAATAAGTATAGATGAAAGTAAATTTTATAGAAAAATATATTCAGTTACATGACAAAAATAGTCAAAAAGAGATGAAGCTGTTGTTGTGGACCTTAATGATTGAAAAGTTAGCACGTATAATAAAAAAAATATTTAATAAAATTAACAATAAATCATATAAAATATTTTTTTTAATGTTACAACAAACTTATGCAAAATGACTAATTTTTTAAAACAACTTACCAAATTAAATTTATTTGAATACTAAAAAATTTCGTAAAATAGTTTATAGTGTTTCCCAATACAATCATGATATATATACCATGACCCTCTTAAACAAAAATGATTTTATACACACCCATTTCGAAGAAAAATTGCATACTTTCAAATATAAAAAAAAAATGTATAAATAACGATCACACTCTAAAAAAATAGATAAAAATATGATATTTCATTGTAATAAATTTTTTTTATTAAAGAAAAAAATATGAGGAATGGTAACTTATCCAAAAATATGTGAAGTCTCAACAAAAAAAATGAGTTGGCTTGGCGGTGGTATTTCCGTAATATAGTTCCAACTCGAAGCCTCATAATTAAACTCCCCACGTTTTATAACCCGACAACCGTCCAACTTCCTTATATTATCCTCTGACACCCTCACTGGACTCTGTCACAGCCCCTTTCTCGTTTCACTCTTTTCCCTTTTCGGTTTTCACACAACACACACATACTGTTACCTCCTGCAACAATGGCGTTATTCGGGCCTGTCATATGGCTCTGTGCACTCGCCTTCCTTCTTCACGCACGCGCCTTCCCGATCCCCTCCGCGAAAACCTACATCGTTCACATGAACCACTACCAGAAGCCCGCCGCCTACGCTACCCACGGCGACTGGTACGCCGAGCACCTCCAGGCCCTCTCCGCCGCCGCCCCCGGCTCCCTCCTCTACACCTACGAGGCCGCCTACCACGGCTTCGCCGCCGCCCTCACGCCGGAGGAGGCCGAGTCCCTGCGCCGGTCGGACGCCGTTCTCGGGGTGTACGAGGACGCGGTGTACACCCTCCACACAACACGCACGCCGGAGTTTCTCGGGCTGGAGACCGGGCTCGGCCCGTGGGCCGGGCACAGCCTTCAGGAGTTGAATCAGGCTTCTCAGGACGTGATAATTGGTGTCCTGGATACTGGGGTTTGGCCGGAATCGAGGTCGTTCCACGACGGCGACATGCCCGATGTGCCAGCTCGGTGGCGCGGCGAGTGCGTCGCTGCCCACGACTTCGATCCGAAGATCCACTGCAACAAGAAGCTAATCGGCGCTAGATTCTTCGACAAGGGGTACAGTATGGCCTCGGGGAGGAAGGAGTCGAGGTCCCCCCGCGACGGCGACGGCCACGGCACGCACACGGCGAGCACCGCCGCCGGCGCCGTGGTTCGCAACGCCAGCCTGCTGGGCTACGCGAGCGGGAACGCGCGTGGGATGGCGCCTCACGCCAGGGTAGCGACCTACCGGGTCTGCTGGCAGTCGGGTTGCCTCGGATCCGACATCCTCGCCGCCATGGAGCGCGCGATTCTGGACGGCGTCGATGTTCTCTCCATGTCCCTCGGCGGCGGATCCGCGCCGTACTACCGCGATACCATCGCCGTCGGAGCTTTTGCGGCCATGGAGAGAGGGATCTTAGTTTCCTGCTCGGCTGGAAACAGCGGACCCGCTAAGGAATCGCTCGCGAACGTCGCGCCGTGGATAATGACGGTCGGTGCCGGCACAATAGATCGGGATTTCCCTGCCTTTGTAACCCTAGGCAACGGGAAAAAATTCACCGGGATGTCGCTGTACAGTGGGAAAGGCATGGGGAGGAGGCTGGTGGAGTTGGTCTACAACAAAGGCGGCAACAGATCCAGCAACCTGTGCCTCGCCGGATCCCTAGATCCGGCCGACGTCCGCGGCAAGGTGGTGGTCTGCGACAGGGGGATCAGCCCTAGGGTGGAGAAGGGCGCGGTGGTGAGGGACGCCGGCGGCGTGGGGATGATTCTGGCGAACACGGCGGAGAGCGGGGAGGAGCTTGTGGCGGACAGCCACCTTCTGCCGGCGGTGGCGGTGGGGCGGAGGACGGGGGATCTGATAAGGGAGTACGTCCGGACGGCGGCGGGAAAACCGACGGCGGTGCTGAGCTTCGGCGGGACGGTGGTGAACGTGAAGCCTTCGCCGGTGGTGGCGGCGTTCAGCTCGAGGGGGCCGAACGTGGTGACGCCGGAGATACTGAAGCCGGACGTGATTGGGCCCGGCGTGAACATCCTGGCCGCGTGGTCGCAGGCGGTGGGGCCCACGGGGCTGGATAAGGACGGCCGGAGGAGCCAGTTCAACATCATGTCTGGTCAGTAGTGCGCCCCATTAACTGCTAATAAATTTTTCAATTATTTTGCTCGCCTGATTATTTCTGATCTGTGATAAATCTCATAATCATTAATTAAAGTAAATGCTTAGTTGATTAGAAAAAAATTAAAAAATAATGAGTTTTTTCTGAGGGTATGTCTAACTGGATGAGTCATCCCATCATAATCATTAATTACAATGCATGTTTATGATATGAAATAGTTGTCATACTTTCTAAACAAAAATTCATACTTAAAATGTGAACCTTCTTTGGAAGTATGTTAGTGGGTATGATATTGTGCATATTTATTCAAATAAAAATTATTGAGTTGAGTGATCTGAAATGTTATACCTTTTACTTTTATGTTTTTTGGTTACGATAACTAAATTTATGCGCATATGTTGAAAATTAATTATATGATTATCTAAATGTAGTTTGTTTAAAAATTATAGATATATAATTGTTAGGTTTGAGTAACAATAGTATTTTCGTGTATAAATTATATATGGTTATACTGAGTGCCAAAGGGAGAGAAATTTGAAATTGGTCAAAGATAACTGATTTAATATTGGTTATGATTATAAAGGTCATCATGGGAAATGTGTTGCTTTCGCTTTCACATTTCCATAAAGTAGGGGTGAATTCTTTATTCGTGTACCTAAAACCAAGCTTCGTACTTGATAGTGTGTTAGTATTATATAAGCGTGCTTGAGAAAGAATGTGTTGTGGGGCTACTATTAATTTAGTTTTTTTTGCACCTAAGTCCTAATGTCCCTCTTTTTTTGCATATTTACCCCTTTCTTGATATTTTCATATTTTTCTATATTTCACGGTTTGTGTTGCTGGGTTATTGGGTCGGACCCACACCAAAAGGATCCTTATCAATTTGAAAACAACAATGAGCTGTAAAGAATATTATGAAAGAGATAAAGTTAAAGGTCACAAAGCCACAAACGAGTTCTGTAATGAGCTGACTTATTCAGCTAATTAGCTATTTTTGTCTACTATGTAATTATGTTGTTATTTATAAATTTTATTGTTTCCAAAAAAAAAAAAAACACAAGCTAGGTTTCGACCCTACCGATGACTGCATTAGGTTTTTTTAGTCGTTGGATCAAAATACGATATGTGTATGTATGTGTTGATCCAACGCTAAAAAACTCGATAATGTTTTTAGGCAAAATTGTAATTTTTATCCTGCCGGTTTGATCCAGTGACGTTTTTAGTCCTAAGAATTGGACATTTTGCTATTTGGTCCTATAAATTTAAAATTCAACGCAATTTCAGTCCTTTGGGACTGACAAAGGACTGAAATTGCAACAAAATGTAAAATTACAGGACTTTAATTGATAATCAAAAATCCATAAGTCTTGTAAATTTAAATTTTGTTGCAATTTCAGTCCCAAAATACCAAATTACAGGATGAGAAGACAAAAAGTTGTAATCGTGGGACTAAAAACGCTATGACGTAAACCAGCAGGACTAAAAATACAATTTCGCCATGTTTTTAAATCGAAAGTTCTATTTTTTTTTTTTGTTTATTTTTTTTCAATTTTTTTATATATATGCAGGCACATCCATGTCTTGCCCGCACATAAGCGGGCTCGCGGCCCTGCTTAAGGCGGCCCACCCGAGCTGGAGCCCGAGCGCGATCAAATCGGCCCTCATGACCACCGCATACACCCTCGACTCCACCAACTCCCCTCTCCGCGACGCGGCCGATTATTCCCCCTCGACCCCACACGCCCACGGCTCGGGCCACGTGAACCCGGGCCGGGCCCTCTCTCCGGGCCTCGTCTACGACTCCACCCCAGACGACTACATATCCTTCCTCTGCTCCCTCGGCTACAGGCCCGAGATGGTCCAGCTCGTGGCCCGTCGCCCCAACGTCACCTGCGCCCGGCCCAAGTTCCGAAGCCCGGCCCAACTCAACTACCCCTCGTTTTCCGTGCTTTTCGGGAAGTCAAGGGTCGTGCGTTTGACCAGGGAGTTGACCAATGTGGGGCCCGCAGGGTCGGTTTACGCGGTCTCGTTCGAGGCTCCGGTTGGCGTGGGCTTGAGCGTGAGGCCCGCGAGGCTCGTTTTCGAGAAAGTCGGGGATAAGCAGAGGTATACGGTTACGTTTGTTTCGAGAAATGTTTCGGGGAAAGGGGTCTTCGTTAAGGATGCGTTTGGTTCAATTTCTTGGGAGAGTAAGGAGCATACGGTGAGGAGCCCGGTTTCGTACTCGTGGACCGGGTTTTGAGGTCTTGTTTTCTGCTGCTGCTGATGCTACAGTTATTTAACAGCTAGGGAGAAACTAAACCTAAAATGGCTAAGGCTAATCAGATTCACATCTTGAGGAGTGTTGGAGTTTTTAATTGGTGTGATTGATTAGTATAGTTTTTAAATGGTTGGGACTGGTCATATGATGCTGTGTTTCAAATTTTATATGGCCTGCTTGCTTTGTTTTTCTATAAAATGGGGATTTAAACTGAATTTGGGGCATAAATGCTTAATTGTTTACTTGTTTGATTTTGGTTTTTGATCTTCAAATGGGTTGGGGTTATGACTTGTGAGTGTTGAAGGTGGGTAGCCAGGTTTAGGTTGACTCCCCAATTATCTAAAAAAGGATTTTGGAAAAAAAAAATGTTGGGTTATTGGAAAATTGGATGATGCAGAGTTGATGAATTGAGAGATTTTCAATTTTTCTCTTTTTGCCCCCCCATTTTATGGGAAGAAATTGTGTGGAGAATTGTGATTTAATTACTACAAAGTTCATGTTGACAATTGTGTAAGGGGATATTCTATATCATCTTCAACATAATCTTATTATCACTAATCCACTCTCCTCAAAAGCTCCATTTTCTTGGAAGAAATTGTGTGTTAAGAATTGTGATTTAATTACTACAAAGTTCAAGTTAACAATTGTGTAAGGCTATTTTTATCATCTTCTTCAACATAATCTTATTATCACTATCTCCTCAAAAGATCAATAGTGATCAAGAAAGTAAAAAAATGGGGAAATGAATTGATCCAAGCACTACATTTTGCTATGCTAACAATCACATTTAACATTAATAACAGAAGTAGCAAGGGTAGCAACAGCTTTTATGACAACAAGAACATGTATTTTTCAACCTAAAACATTTAATACAGCTTGTGCAAGAGCAAGTCAGGCAAGAAGGGCAATTTGGTGCCGAGCAGCAGCTGCAAAAGTCGATTCTGCACTTGTATGTGTTACGGCATTTGCTATCACAACACGGGAAAAAACAACACTCGGGCATCCAGCAAGAATTGCATACATTGCATTCACAGCAATTTGGCCTTTTCAGACAAGACAGACAATTACAACAGCAAATCCATGAAACCTTCAAACACGATAATCCTCCACTGCAAAAGAAGAACAGACGAGTCAGTTGCTAGAACTTAGATACGAAAATTTTGTTCCCCATGAAGAAACGTCTTAAAGTTTGAATATATTGCATCTTAGCTTAATTTATAAAATTCCCATAGAAAAAGAAAACCTTAGAGAGTTTTTTTGTACAGTGTATCCCCTTAAATAAAAGTATGGTGTTCAGAGGTTGGTACCAGAGCCGTTCCCGGAACCGGCAAGATCTGCGGGTTTTCTTGGTTCTGCTTTCAAACGCAAAGAAAAAAAAAAAAAAAAAAAAAAAAAAAAAAAAAAAAAAAACTTAATGATTAAAAACGGCAACTTGGAAATTTTCATCGACGTGTAAGATTAAGAGGATTGGTTTATGTTCTTACGAGGGCATGAGAGGATCTACATTTGCCGTCACAAAATCTACAACCCTGCACGACTAACACACCATACCTGATTATGTGTTCATGCTAATGAAAATAACTCAAATATTCGAATTTCTAAGCTAACACATGGCTGGGATAAATAACGTACTCTTTACAGGATCTTGAAGCCAGTTGAAGTCCCTCGATAGATTTCAATTCTTCCTGCTTGTGATAAGATATGAAGTAAATATATCACCCAAATATTACTTCCTCTCGATTTTTTCACGCATAAGCAAAGGTCTAACATAGCAACACTTGAGAGAAAGCAAAACTGAATCAAGCTCAGTAAACGAAGACAAAATCATTTTAGCAAGATATGACGATTAGAAATTAAGAACTAACTAGTTAATTTAGCAGAAAAACACCAAGGTAAAATCATTGTTTTTCTTTTTTATTCCAGCAACTAGAAAACTAAACAGAAGACCTTTTGAAAACCAACATTTCTAAACATGCAAGTTGTCTTTCAAAACTGAAGGAAGTGTACAGAGTAAGATTTTATTACTTTTCACATTTATAAGTCAGTCAGTAATCTGTAGTTTTTCTTTAACCAAAGAAGGTAAAAAACACTGGCACGAAAATCTGGGCAAGTTGCTAAAATCAAGAATGTTCCAACTTTTTGGTTAACTTCTACCACCTACCATATTGTAATCTTCAAGAAGAAAAATTTACTTGAATGAAGTGTTTTTCACTTTCTCTGCTAAACCAAAAAATATAAGCAAATAGAAGAACATTGGGCTCCAGGTCCCACTATGGCACTGCACACAAAACAAGACTTCAGAAATTTCAGATTTTCTATAAATAGACAACAATGGGATCCATCACTACTATACTATAAAGAAAAATTACACAAAAAAAACAAAATGTTCTCATTAATATAATAAGCTTAAAAAAAGATAATCTTCTAGCAATCATGGGCAAATGCTAAAAAATCCCTTAGATTAAGCTCGAAATCATCAACTGTGATTACATAAGGAAAAAAAAAAGATAGAAACAATCCACATTTATCAGTGTTGTAAAATAGGCCTAACTAGTGTGCCCAGCCTAAGTCGAGATGCTTATGTCCAAAATTATACACACAAATTCTTGTGTAAGACATACTAACCGTTAACCGCCTGACCCATCATACTGTATAAATAAAAATGTATACTTATATTATCAAATATCATAATTCTACTTGTGTTGTTTATTTAAGTAGCATTTTCAAAGAATGATACAATATATCTTCTGAAACAATTCTGCTTTTGCAGCTAAAAGGCTGATGATTTTCTTTCTTTTAAAACATAAAAACTTTTCCCGGTGATTTCTACAACCATGATCATTTTTAAATGCAAATAGAATGTGTTAGGATTAGAGATTTCCTCATGGAAAATAGTAGTAACTGGAAAATGAAAATGGTTCTTGAAAATAACCAAAAATTGGAAAAAACTCTAATTTGAACTTGCAAATCAACTGAAAAACCGAACAGGACTGTACAGAGCTCATAAGATACCGAGAGCCAAGAAACATCACCAAACATTAGATTAACAAAAACTTAAAACCAAAAAACATAAAAATAAGCTAACCTCAAGAAAACCAATTTCTCTCTCTACCAACTGTACTTTGGCCAGCTCCCTCCGGCGTCCGTACAGCTCCGGCGGCAACTTGGGCTCCGGCTGAGGTAACGACGTCACCATGCCATTTCCCTTCAAAGAAGACATTTTTTCACTGTTCTTTCCTTTCAAGCACTATCTGCTCCATGTACCAAAGCTAAAATGTCCTAAAACAAACAAGCAAATAAACAAAGATTTGCTGATTTTCTCATGAAATACGTAGTAAATGAGCCAAGGCAGAGTCAAATGAGATTTAAAAAAAAGCTTCTATCTTCACATGGCCATGAGTGAGAAAATGATGTTCTGAGGAGTATAACAATGGGGGAGAAAACAAGAAAATCGCCACGAGAAAAACAAGAAACAGCAAAACTAACAATTACTAAAAACTATCTCATTTTATTTTAATTAAGGAAAGATCGCAAAGAACACAAGAAAAAGCAAAGAAGTTTGAGGTACGGAAATTTTTCGCACATCGAAATCGACTGGAATTTATAGGTTTTGATTTATAACCGTTGGAGACATTCAGAAACGGCGCGTGTAACGGACGTGTCCTAAAACAACATAACGTTACAGTAATTATTAGTACACGTGGCCACGTCTTGAAACGCCATGTCGTTATAAATTTATATCCGTTGGACCCATTAAATACGGACACATCTTACAAGAAACTGACCCAGATGATATTTTTTTTCTCTCTCTGATCTCTGTTTTCTTGAGTGAAAAGCGAGCAGCAATGGTAGCAAAAGAAACCCAAAAAACAGAGTCACAAACTCACAATAACTTTAAAAATGTAGAAATTATAAGCCAAAAACTGAAGTTAAAAAAGGAAAACTAAAAACCAACCCATATGATTATTTATCTTTTGTCTGTGTTCTTGAGTGAAAAGTGACCAATAATGGCTGATAAAGAAATCCAAAAAGGAAAAAAGTCTGATTTTTCGCAGCAATTATGGCGGTGCTAATAATCGGAAAAAAAGCTGCAGAAAAGGAGGAGAAAAAGTGGGCTTCAAGAAGTAGATACAAAATAAATGGTGTACGTTTTGCTGAAATTAAAAACTGAATCAATGGGCTCTGTCACTGTCTCTTCACTCAGTCGATGGTGTTTGTGCGTTTTTTTTTTCCCGAATTTTTTGAGCAGTGGATACAAAGGGAGGAGCAGTGAGCTGAGGAAGAAAGTAAGTACAACAGAGCGCACGTGAGATTACCACAGAGCGCACGTGAGGAAGGAGAGTTAGAGAGAGAAAATTACTGTTGTAATTTTTAAATTGACTGCTGTTAAATGGGATTTTTTTGGTGACTTGATCCTAGTGTTTACTGTGCTGGGTGAAAAGGGTTGAAAAAAGGGGATGAAAATGGAAATATGGAAATTGCTTAAATGAGTCATTTGTTGAGTATATTGTAAACATCATCACGGATCTTGAATAAATAATTTGGTGTATACGAAATACTTACTTACTTGATGCGGAATACGATATAATTTGATCTTGATCTCGATGATCATACGGGGTTGAATCGATTGGTAGATCTAAATTAGTTTCTCCCTCCTGACCGATTCATTTACGTAGCAGAAGACTGATGGGAAAAACTGTGTACCCTAATAGGAGGAGAGATGACTAATTTATATAAGGGATGACTTTATATCTGGTACGTTCATCAAATATCCAGATCAATAGCTTAAATTTGTTTGACTATTAAATAAAGACCTAGCCCAATAGGATAATTAATTGGAGCCCAATACTTTCGGGCGCACATATTTTTACATTCTCCCACTTGGTCCGAAAGCCCTTCATATAATAGTATAACATTAGGTGCACAATAAACAAATCTCATTATGCCATACATCATAATAAACTATGACATACTAAACCATATAG